GGAGGTTGCAGTGAGCCGAGATTGTGCCGCTGCACTCTGGCCTAGCCTGGCAACAGAGCAAGACTCCATCTCCAAACAAAACAAAACAAAAGAAAACAGGGCCTACCACACAGGGTATGTGTGAAGATGAAATGAGTTCATGTACACAAGGCACTTAGAACAGTGTTTGGTTCATAGTAAATCTCAACAAATGATAGCTATTAGCTGTTATTACCACACAGTTAGTAATTGCTGGGACTTGTACCCAAATCTAGACCTTCTGTCTTCTAGTCCAGAACACTTTTCATAGTACCATTTGCAATTTATCTTTCAGTAAATCATTGATGGAATTTCCATCTCACATTGACCTTGTTATTTTTTTTTTTTTTTTTTTTTTTTTTTTTTTTTTGAAACAGAGTTTCGCTCTTGCTACCCAGGCTGGAGTGCAATGGCGCGATCTCGGCTCACCGCAACCTCCGCCTCCTGGGTTCAGGCAATTCTCCTGCCTCAGCCTCCTTAGTAGCTGGGATTACAGGCATGCACCACCATGCCCAGCTAATTTTTTTGTATTTTTAGTAGAGACGGGGTTTCACCATGTTGACCAGGATGGTCTTGTGACCTTGTTATTCTTGAAGGGATCTTTTTCCACTTTGTTTACTTTGACTTTAAATTTCTCAAGATCAAAAGGGAAATGTGTTTGAAAGATTATTCCTGATTTTTGTTTGTTTGTTTGTTTTGTTTTGTTTTTGAGAAGAAGGTTCGCTCTTGTTGTCCAGGCCGGAGTGCAATGGTGTGATCTCAGCTCACTGCAACCTCCATCTCCTGGGTTCAAGTGATTCTCCTGCCTCAGCCTCCCGAGTAGCTGGGATTACAGGCATATGCTGCTATGCCCGGCTAATTTTGTATGTTTTAGTAGAGACGGCGTTTCTCCATGTTGTTCAAGCTGGCTGGTCTCGAACTCCCAACCTCAGGTAATCCAGCCGCTTTGGCCTCCCAAAGTGCTGGGATTAAAAGGCATGAACCACTGTGCCCGGCTGAGTCTTCTTTATTTTAAAAAATTCTCTGATGATTTCGGGCCAGGCATGGTGGCTTATGCCTGTAATTCTAACACTTTGGGAGGCTAAGGCAGGCGGATTACCTGAGGTCAGGAGTTTGAGACCAGCCTGGCCAAATGGTGAAATCCCATCTCTACTGAAATACAAAATTTCGCCAGGTGTTGTGGTGAGTACCTGTAATCCCAGCTACTCAGGAGGCTGAGGGAGGAGAATCACTTGAACCCAGGAGGCGGAGGTTGCAGTGAGTGGAGATCACACCACTGCATTTCACTCCAGCCTGGGCGACAGGCCAAGACTCTGTTTTAAAAAAAAAGATCATCTGACTTCTGTTGTCATCTGGGTTTGCTTGACCTTGAAGTATCAGAAGGTGTTTTAGCAGGTCAAGATATAAAGTTGTTTTCAAGAGTGATTTTGGGTGTTTCTAGCGAACTCTGTTTTGGTTGGAAGGCCTAAAGTGGGAAGTAGAGTTGAAAGAAATTGTTGAACTACAGCCCAGATTTTGGGGGTTGGGGGGAGTTCAGCCATATATCTTATCTACAGTGCTGAGAAAAGATTGCCATTACATTACATGACTCTGGTTACCTCAGAGTAAAGGTAATTTTTTTTGACACAAGATTATTTATAGTAAAAGAGTCATCCTGAAGAGTTGGTAAACTGTTTTGGGCCATTTCCTGGGAAAGAAGTTGTTTGTAGATATTTCTCTTGGTAATACTATTTGTAGCAGGTTTTTACTTGTGGCTCCCACTTGTTTTCACTCTCTCTTTTCCCAATGTAGATATTTATGGCTGTGAGATAGGCCTAAGTGAAAATCTGCATGCCTTTGTGGTAGCTACTCAGTTGCTATAGGGAGACAACCACCCTTTCTTTGCATGCCCACAGTTAACTCAAAATTGGATTTCATGTGGAAGATTGCAGAGGGTGGGCAGTAGTGTGAAGGAAAGGTGGAGTCAGCCTGGAGGCCTTCCAGAGGCAAGGAATAAGAGAAAGCCCCAACTCACTGGGCATGCCCTATCACCAGGCCTTCTTGATGTGTGCCTAGTACAGTATATACATAGATGGAGTACTCTGACTGCAAGATGCTCAATATGCTTATGATCTTTGTTTAATATCTGTACCAGTATTTAACCTGGTAGGACAGGAGGTTTGAAAGAACCTGCTAAGACCTTCTCTTTGTGATAGTTGCACTTTTTAACTCACTTATCTCTAATATCACCTTTAGCAAGTAGAATTAATTGTTCTCATATTAAGTGAAAACACTGAATTTTTAAGATGCCCTGACACCTGGTGATAGTTCAATACTGTTTGCAAAAGAGGATATGAAGATATGATATATTATCTTTTCTAATTTTGCAGTCAGGTTTTATTTTTCCTGACTAGCCACCAACAGAATCCTCTGGCTAATGCAGCCTGAGACCAAAGCCCAGAAAACAGTTCTGGGTCCTAAAACCTTAGCAGTCTCTCTCTTGCAGCTACATGGCTGCCCATTCAGTTTGGTGCCTTCTCCTGTGTTTAGTTTCTGCCTGCTATGCTGGGGAGTGGCTGGTCTTTTTTTTCCTGCTGTATTTGCTTGGATGATGTGTATAGTAGATGGGGAGTTAGAGAAAAGGCTAAAAAAGAATAGCCATTTTCCATTGCCACTGTCATTACATGTTCAGAGAGCTGTTTTTAGCCAGTTGATTATGAATTAAACACTCCTGATGTGTGAGAATCTTCTGTGTGTGGGGATTCTTTTTTTTCTCACTCTGTTGCCCAGACTGGAGTGCAGTGGCGCAATGTCAGCACACTGAAACCTCCACCTCATAGGTTTAAGTGATTCTCCTGCCTTAGCCTCCTGAGTAGTGTGGATTACAAGCATCTGCCACCATGCCTGGCTAATTTTTGTATTTTTAATAGAGACAAGGGTTTCACCATGTTGGCCAGGCTGGTCTTGAACTCCTGACCTCAAGTGATACACCCCCTTCTGCCTCCCAAAGTGCTGGGATTATAGGTGTGAGCCTCCCCACCTGTCCCGTATGTAGGGATTCTTATCCTTCTCCACCATTTATATTCTTCTTATATGCAATGTGCCAGAGAAGAACAGTGTTAATGATGGTTTCCTTTGAGGTTAGTAGCAAAGTTGAGAGTTGAGAAATGACAGCTGAGAGATTTAGCAAAGCAAGCAGGGTTGTAGAGAAGTTGAAGGCTTAGACTAGTTCATGATGGGCCTTTGCCCAGTTGCCGTTTATGAATCTCAGTGTGGCCACAAGTGCCACAGGTGGCCCCTTGAATCTCTATTGTTTTCTTTAAAGTCTTTGCTGATACTCCCAAGTTGGGCCCTTGCTCCACAGGATTCCAGTGGCACATTTTGTCCCCACTTTTCTTCCTCACCTTTGTAGTGAGTAGTTAATTGTCTAAATGTTTGTTTCATCTACTTCTTAAGTTTCTTTACAAGAGGAACCTAGGGCCGGGCATAATAGCTCACTCTTGTAATCCCAGCACTTTGGGAGGCTGAGGCAGGCGATCACTTGAGGTCAGCAGTTTGAGACCAGCCTGACCAACATAGTGAAACCCCGTCTCTACTAAAAATACAAAAATTAGCTGGATGTGGTGGCGGGCGCCTGTAATCCCAGCTACTTAGGAGGCTGAATCACTTGAACCTAGGAGACAAAGGTTGCAGTAGCCTAGATTGTACCACGGAGATTGTGTCACTGCACTGAAATCAGGTGACAGAGTAAGACTCCATCTCAAAAAAAAAGGGAACCTGGTCTTGCTCATTTTAGTATTCTCGTAAATCATAGATATGTCCCACTTGTATCAGTTACTCAATAAATCTTAATGGAATTAAACTGAACAAAACTGGCTATGTCTGTGGAAATCCTGCAGCTAGCGTCTGTTTTTCTAGACCTATGGTCTGTTTTCCTAGACCTACTCTGCCAAGAGGGTACCCCTTAGAGAAGCAGAGCACTGTCATCAGTAATAGCATGCAAAAGCATACCAGCTTATTGTTGGCCTTTTAAAAAACAGCTTTGTTGAAATATCATTCACATACCATACAATTCACCAATTTGACATGTACATGTCAGTGGTTTTCAGCGAGTTTACAGAGTTGTGCAATTATCACCACAATCAATTTTAGAAAATTTCTCATCCCAAAAAGAAACTCAGTGCCTATTCCTTCCAGCCTGCCTGTCCTAGGCAGCCACCAATCTACTTTTTTTTTGTCTTGATAGATTTCCTTGTTCTGGACATATTTTGTCTGGCTTCTTTTACTTGGCATAATATTTTCGAGGTTTATCTCTGTAACATGTAGCCAGCTTAGAGCTTGGTAGAAATTGGAAAGCAAGTAGTGCTTATTTCTTGGCTACTTGTTAGTTGTGGCTGAGGCCAATGGTGAGTCCACTGCCCTCATTAAGAATAACCAGATGGCCAGGCGCAGTGGCTTACGCCTATAATACCAGCACTTTGGGAGGCTGAGGCGGGCAGGTCATGAGGTCAGGAGATCAAGACCATCCTGGCGATGGTGAAACCCTATCTCTACTAAAATACAAAAAAAAACAAAAACAAAAAAAAAATTAGCTAGGTGTGGTGGTGCCTGTAGTCCCAGCTACTCAGGAGGGTGAGGCAGGGGAGTTGCTTGAATCCAGGAGACGGAGGTTGCAGTGAGCTGAGATTGTGCCACTGTACTCCAGCCTGGTGAAAAAGCAAGACTCCGTCTCAAAAAAAAAAAAGAAAAAAAAGGATAACCAGATGTATTTAGTGGAAATTCCATAGATGTGTTCTAAACTTGCTCCTGTAATAGTAAAAATTAAACAAGGTAATATCAATGAGCACCTAATGTAGTTTCTGGGCAAAGTCCCCTTGTCCCAATTGAAGTTCTTAGATTTTAGTAAGAATTTGCCAAAATGAAACAACAGGTAATTTGTAATTGGTACTTGGAATTTAATGTACTGATTCGTCTTCCACCCTTTTGTTTTTGCTCTCCCGAAGGCTATGCCTTTCTGCTGTTCCAGGAGGAAAGCTCAGTGCAAGCTTTGATAGATGCCTGCCTAGAAGAAGACGGGAAACTGTACCTGTGTGTGTCAAGCCCCACCATCAAGGATAAGCCAGTAAGTAATACACGGCCAGCTGTTGCTTTTCCAGAACACATATGCGAATGGAATAGCTGACCTCCTCCTTCTGATAATGGAAATGCTGTTGACTAGGATCCTCTTAAGCAGCTTGACCTCGCTATGCAATAGAGTTGGACTTTGTTGGTGATGGGAAGCTAATAACAAATTACTCAATGTTTCATTTTATACCTTTGGGACTGTGTGTAAACAGATATCCCCTTGTCTTTCACTTTACAGCTCTTTTAAGCTAATTCCTATTCAGAAATTCTGAATCGAGGTAAATAATGCTCTTAGCGGTTTGGCAGCTGTTTTCCGTCATTATGTCAGATCAAGGACAGGAGTTTATTTTTGAAAAAGGTCATAATTGTTGATGTTTTTATGCCTCTGAATTCAAGGCATTGTGTTGGGTAGTACCCACGGCTAGTTAAATAAAGCGTCTGGGTCAGGCACTTACACTATAAAATGGATAGTTTCAACAGAGCAGGAGAGGGAAAGGGCAGAGAACATGGAGCTAAAACTATAATACAGAGTTTCTGGTGAAGAGTTTGTGGCTTCTGAGCCAGAGTATGAGTCAGTAAGTCCCTGGATAAGGGAGGAAGATTGTGTCTTTTCTCCAGCAGAAGAGTTATCAGTGTAGAAGGGGCAAGATCATGTTCAGAGCAGAATAAAAGAACTTCGTTTATGTGACAGAAGTAGATATCTGTGGGCAGTTGGCAGCGGTGGGGTGGAGGTGAGTTTGTGTGTCGAGGCTTTGTGTTAGGTGTGACAAATAGAGCAAAAATACGACACAGAGTGGGCAAGAGACCAAAGCTACATATACCACAGGGCCTTCAGTGGCTTCTGTATGACTAGCACCAGAGGTGTAGGGCCTACCTAGCAGCACTTATTTTCAGAAATGTGCATGGGGAAATAGTGGGATTGAATATGGAAGTTTGAGTGTTGACTCTTGCATTTAAATATCTGCTTGGCTTTGAATAAGTCATCTAATCCTTGCTGAACTGTGGTTTCCTCACCTGGAAAATGGGAAGAGTAGTCATTCTTCTCTGAGTTGTTGAGAGGCAAATGAATGTGAAAGCATCTGGTAGAGGTCAGATACTTACACAAACTTAACTGGCTAATGTTATCAGTCCTACATAGGTTTCAATAGAGCAAGATTAAAACTCACCTACATGGCAGTATCTGTTGAGGAGGATGATGACATCCTGAACAGGGTTTACAATTGGTTGCCAAAAAATGATGTTGGGACGTGGCCACCTATAAGAGTGAGACTGCAGCATTTAGAGCAGAAGAGAGAACTACTAAAGAATGGGGATATTGAGAGTATTCATTGAAGAGTAAGCAAATGATGCAGAAAAAGAGGCAAAGATTTTAGCCATATAAAAGTGCCACTGTAATTTTCAAATTTGGGGTCTGTTGCCAAATTTTGGAGTAATATGAGTTTAGAAAGTCTGTACCCAAGGAAGGAACAAGCCCCCCGTACACACACACACACACACACACACACACACACACACACACACACACACACACACACAATCTGTACCCAGTTTGGTAGGGTCAGATATCTGAGAGGTAAACTCTCAATCTCTAGAGAGCCTCTGCTACTGGCATGTCAGTTGGAAAAATGTAGGCGTGAGCTAGGAAGGTTTAAGGTCACACACTGTAGGAGAGGATTAGAAATATATTTTTCTAAATAAAAAGGCAGAGGGATGGTGGTACACATTGAGGTAGTTATGTCCATGTAGGTTAAGAAGCTGGAGCTAGATTAGAGCACACAGAGCTTAAAGACCTTGGAAGAATGTCACTAGCTCTGTAGGGAAGGAGAATAATATGCCCTGGGGGACAAGCCTTCAGCTGGACAGGATGTCTCTTGAGCAGGGAGTGATCAGCAGTAGGATCATATGGAGGTGGTGTGGTGGCAGTGCCATTACTCTTGAGTGTTTTCACTCGAAACACATGTATTACTCTTGGATTGAAGGACATTTGAAATAATTAGTAGAATTATGTTTTCGGGAAACTTAACTTTCACTGTTTGTGTTTTGGCAAATTCTGCCTTATTACAGTTTTCATTTTTCCGGGCTCAAGTGCAGCAATTTTATTGTAGCTTGGTGAATTCTGAATGGGGACTGCCAGTCACACATTTCTTTGCCCCAGGGATACTCAGAAGTTCCAGCATAAACAGTTTGAGTAAAACTGGGGATAGGAAACTTAAAAGTTCCCAAACACCTGTAATTTTAATGAACTGGATCCTGTTTTGGGTTCCACTCTTTTGGCTCTATTTTAAAAACCTTCTCTTTCTTGGTTTTAGTTCCACATCTACCACTCCCAGACTCATTTATTCATACGTCCCTACCAAAGTTCTGGTACATTCCACCTCATTGTGCATGCTCCCATGAAGGGAAAAAAAGTAAGAACTGTGTTGAACTTTCGGAAGTAAATGAGGACGTCAGCAGTAGCTCAAGGCAAAGTCAACCTTTGGAGCTCATTCACCAAATGTTTTTGAGCTATGGCTCTTCCTTGCTCCCAGCTTTTGGCTTGGGTAGCCTTTATTTCCTACTTTTCAGGATCCCAATGCCCTCATTTGTTCTTTCTGACCCTCCCTGGATTTCTTCTTGGAAATTCACCATGTTCCAAAATGACCCTGCAGATTTTCTACCCTTTGTCTTTCTTTCTCATTCTTTCCCCTCAAACTCCTATTACCTTTGGAACAGATTAATCAGATTGTTTTTCTAATGCAGAACCTGATATTGAGGTCCCCTTTCACCTATCTTGTCCAGGATCATATTTGTTTTTTAACTTAAATGAATTCCAAATTTGTGGATTTCAGGTTATATTAGGGAGATATTTTTGGTCAATGACTACCTTTTATTAAATGACTCAACTCAGACTATTCTATGTATAGGTCTGGTCCTGAAAGATTACACAAGGAACTGTATTTATGGCCTGATTAACTGATTCCTCAGTTCCAAAGAATGGGAAGACAGATTGGCAAGAGCAGGAGGAGGTACTGCAGAGCTTCTAGATCTATGGGTTTTTTTTTTCCTTCTCTAGTAATAAGAGTTTTGTAGCTCAGGCGTCCCAGGCATATCAGAAGACAGCTGTGTCTATGTGCAAGGGTTCCAGTGAAAAAGGCAGACATTGTGCACAGTGGCCCCTCTCATCAGAGTGACTCTACTTTTTGGATATATGAATAGATTGAACCTGAAGGTTCAAGACAGCAAGCTAATAGAGCAAGAGACCTAATGAGTCTAGCAGAGATAGGGGCTGAAAAAGAGTAATCTTGAAAAGAAGATGGGTAAGGAGACAGTTAAGGTTCTAGAACATGTTGGCTGGAGATGTGGGATAGCAAACACCTTGAAAGGAGTATCAGAGGACTTTCCTGCTTCCTGCTCCTTATGATTTATAGCACAATCACAATTTCTCTATATCTTGAAATATGACAGAGTGATTTTGCTATACATTTTAAAACCATATTACCAAACTAAAGTGTGCTTATGTGGGGATCCATTCTTTATGTTACTGCTCAGGTAATATGGTCATCCACTTAACCCTTGAAAAACAAAAATGGAAAAGAATGGTAAGAAAAAGGAATTTGGAAATAAAGGCCAATTTAATTTTTAGTTTTTAATTCTGTTCCATCTGTCTATCATTCTGGTCTTTTCTTCCCCCTGTTTATTTATCAGTGGGATCTGTAGCACTTTTCAGTCACTCCTCTTTTGTTACAAAAGAAGTCCAGATCCTTTTGCGACTTAAGACCTTCCCAGTCTGGCTTCAATTTTTTTCCAGCTTTGCCTTTTTCTGCTCTCCTTCTGAACCCTGTATTTTAACCAAACTGAAATATGTATGCTCTCATCTCAATTTCTTTTTTTTCTTTTCTGAGACAGAGTCTTGTTCCGTTGCCTAGGCTGGAGTGCAATGGTGCGATCTCGGCACACTGCAATTTCCGCCTCCCATGCTCAAGCAGTTTTCCTGCCTCAACCTCCCAGTTAGCTGAGATTACAGGCATGCATCACCACACCTGGCTAATTTTTGTATTTTTAGTAGAGACGGGGTTTCACCGTGTTGGCCAGGTTGGTCTCAAACTCCTGACCTCAAGTGATCCACCCACCTTTGCCTACCAAAGTGCTGAGATTACAGGCATAAGCCACCACACCCAGCCTCCCATCTCAATTTCTAATCCCTACCCTTATTTCAAGACTCCTCACAAATACCATCTCTTTCATGAATCCTTCCCGGATCGCCACATCATGTATGGTGAATGATACCTGTTATTGTGGCTATCTCCAGCCCTATATAGAACTGTCTTTTTAAAATGGCGTGCCTTCCTTCAGACCATGTTTGAGTACCTACCATGGTCAAGGCACAGTACTGGTTACTATGAATCAGAACCTCCTATGAGTTGACATAAAATCTTGTGTCCAAAAGTTAATTAAATGGTAATGAGGGAATAGCCAAAAAAAAAAAAGTTAATAGTATAATGCATAGATAAAACCAGTATAGGCTGGGCACAGTGGCTCGTGCCTGTAATCCCAGCACTTTGGGAGGCCGAGGCTGGCGGATCACTTGATGTCAGGAGTTTGAGACCAGCCTGGCCAAAATGGTGAAACCCCATCTCTACTAAAAATACAAAAAATAGCTGGGTATGGTGGTAGGTGCCTGTAATGCCAGCTCCTTGGGAGGCTGAGGGACAAGAATCGTCTGAACCTAGGAGGCAGAGGTTGCAGTGAGCCGACATTGCACCATTGCACTCCAGCCTGGGTAACAGAGTGATACTCCATATCAAAAATAAATAAATGAATAATAAAATAAAAATATAGGCTGGGCACGGTGGTTCATGCCTGCAATCCCAGCACTTTCGAAGGCCGAGGCAGGTGGATCACGAGGTCAGGAGCTCGAGACCAGCCTGGCCAACATGGTGAAACCCCGTCTCTACTAAAAAACTACAAAAATTAGCCAGGTGTGGTGGCACATGCCTGTAATCCTAGCTACTCGAGAGG